CTGGACTCCTCGTTGCCCCAGCTCCCATCACCCAGCTCCCCTGAGGCCCCTCTCCTCTCCAATCTGCCACGACCTGCTTCACCAGCCTTGTCTGACGGCTCCTCCTCTGAAGCTACCACACCTGTCATTTCAAGTGTGGCTGAGCGCTTCTCTCCAGGCCTTGAGGCTACAGAACAAGAGTCTGGAGAGCTGGACCCAGGAATGGAACCAGCTACCCACAGCCTCTGGGACCTCACTCCTCTGAGCCCAGCATCCCCAGCTTCACTGGACTTGGCCCTAGCTGCAGCTCCAAGCCTGCCTGCAGATATGGGTGATGGCACCCTGCTGCGCCACCTGGACTGCTCAGGGGCAGCCACGGAGAAGCCAAGCCCCTCCCGGGGTCCCTCTGGGGACTGTGCAGCCAATGGCCTAACTGAAAGCAGCCCTAACCCTCTAGGCCCTACCCCAGCCAAGGCTGAAAAAGAAGAGGCTGAGGCCTGTCCTGCCTGGGAACGTGGGGCCTGGCCTGAAGGAGCTGAGAGGAGCTCCCGGCCTGACACACTGCTGTCCCCTGAGCAGCCACTGTGTTCTGGAGGGGTCTCTGGTGACCCACCCAGCAGTGCCTCTCCTGAGGTTGAGGCTGGGCCCCAGGGATGTGCTGCTGAGCCCCGGCCCCATCGGGGGGAGCTCTCCCCATCCTTCCTGAACCCACTTCTGCCCCCATCCACAGATGACAGTGACCTCTCAACTGAGGAAGCTCGGCTGGTAGGAAGAGGCGGGCGGCGCCAAGCAGGGGGCTCAGGGACCACTGGGGGCCCATGCCCTGTGGCTGACGAGACACCCCCCACATCAGCCAGTGACTCAGGCTCCTCACAGTCAGATTCTGATGTCCCACCAGAAACTGAGGAGTGTCCATCCATCACAGCGGAGGCAGCCCTTGACTCAGATGAAGATGGGGACTTCCTGCCTGTGGACAAAGCTGGGGGGGTCAGTGGTACTCACCATCCCAGGCCTGGCCATGACCCACCCCCTCTCCCACAGCCAGACCCCCGCCCATCACCTCCCCGCCCTGATGTGTGCATGGCTGACCCTGAGGGGCTCAGTTCAGAGTCTGGAAGAGTAGAGAGGCTACGGGAGAAGGAGAAGGTTCAGGGGCGAGTAGGGCGCAGGGCCCCAGGCAGGGCCAAGCCAGCGTCCCCTGCACGGCGTCTGGATCTTCGAGGAAAACGATCACCCACCCCTGGTAAAGGACCTGCAGATCGAGCATCCCGGGCCCCACCCCGACCACGCAGCACTCCAAGCCAGGTCACCCCAGCAGAGGAAAAGGATGGACACAGCCCCATGTCCAAAGGCCTAGTCAATGGACTCAAGGCAGGACCGAGTAAGTATATCATGAAAAGTGGCAGAGAGTGTGGGTTAGGGCTGGGTGTGAGCTGGTCAGGCTCCAGGAGTGGGAAAGAGGAGAAGGTTGCCAAAAGGGTTCTACTTTTCCTCTACAATGAATGCTGGCTTGTCTCTGCAGTGGCCTTGAGTTCCAAGGGCGGCTCTGGTGCCCCTGTATATGTGGATCTCGCCTATATCCCGAATCATTGCAGTGGCAAGACTGCTGACCTTGACTTCTTTCGTCGAGTGCGTGCATCCTACTATGTGGTCAGTGGGAATGACCCTGCCAATGGCGAGCCAAGCCGGGCTGTGCTGGATGCCCTGCTGGAGGGCAAGGCCCAGTGGGGGGAGAATCTTCAGGTGAGTAGCAAAGGACACCAAGGAAGTAGTTTGGTCAAAGCTCACTCAGAGGCAGTGGAACACAGTCCCTATTTATTAAAGGGCAACAGGGCTGTTTCTGAGACCATGAGGTTCCCCTTCCCCCTCACCTACCTTCCTTTCATGTTCTCACATCAGGCATGTCTTGTCTCCCTCCTAGGTGACTCTGATCCCTACTCATGACACGGAGGTGACTCGTGAGTGGTACCAACAAACTCATGAGCAGCAGCAGCAACTGAACGTCCTGGTCCTGGCTAGCAGCAGCACCGTGGTCATGCAGGATGAGTCCTTCCCTGCCTGCAAGATTGAGTTCTGAAAGAGCCGCCCTCCCTTCCCCAAGGATCCACTCCCCCAGCTCCTTTAGAAAATGGCTACTGCTGAGTCCTGTGGTGTTGAGGGAAATGGGAGCTAGGGGGAGGGGAGGGAGATGTCTTCTTGTGGGGACTTGGGCTAGGCTAAATGGGAGGGATTGTCCCTTCCCGTCATCCATTCCTGAGGGGTCTCAAACCAAAGTTAACAAGCAGAGGATGGGGAAGGGGACAAATTATGATAGGATAGCATCTGATGCCTGAGAACCCTCTCCTAGCACTGTCAAATGCTGGTATTGGATGGGGACTGAGGATAGGTCTCAGAGAGCAACCTCCTCCCTTATAGAGGGAGATTATATCCCCAACACCAAGGACCTCTTTATCTCAATCTATTTATTTGGCATCCCAGGAAGGATTTCCAATAGCAATTTATGTGACTGGGGGCAGGATACTGTCAGTGAGATGCCCAGAGCTGCACCCTTTCCTCCATCTCCCATCCCCCCATCTCCCCAGCCACCAGGGTCTGAGTTCTAGCAGGGGCCTGGGGGTATCCCACTGCTACACTGTTCTACTGCTTCGCTCAGTATCTGAATGTCTCAATTTAAAACTTGAAGCTCTTTAGACCAATAGATAGACTGGTGAGAGGAGAAAGGAGCTTATTCCCGAGCCCCTGCTGTATACCATTCATATCCCAGGGCTGTGTCCAGACAGCACAAAAGGGCAAGGAGAGCCCATTCCCAATGCCAGAATTCTTCCAAACTCCCTGACTCTTGGAAGTTTTTACTCACCCCATTTCAATTATCCTGATCCCTTCTCATCCCCTGCTTGGCTTCTCTGCATGTGGTCATCTGCTGTGGCCTGGTGTGTAATGGGTTAAAAATAAGCAACTGCCTGACATCCCAACATTTGACACCCCAGCAATGTGTGACTCCCTCAACATTCCACTATGCCATCCTGCAGCTGAAATGGGAACACTGGCTGCCTCTCCAAACCCACTCTTAGAGGATCTGGGAGGTGGAGGCCAGGCCAGAGGACTTGGGGAAAATGAGAGGGAGGAAGAAAAAGGGAGAAGCAGCTGAGTCATAGCTTAACTCTTACAGAGTGAAGTGAAAATGGGCCGAAAATGCCACCCCAGGAGAGGACCTCGTCCCAAGCAAGCCAGTGAGCAGCCCTGTCAGACTACTGCTGGACTGAGAAACCAGAAGCTGGTAGTCACCTGGGCTCGCCTTCTCTGCCAAACTATTGGGAAACCAAAATGAGCCCACCTAGTGTTCTTCCTAGCTCCACCCTCCCCGTGCTGCTGTGCTCTGCTCCTCCCCACACTTCCCTGCTATAGTTCCCAGCTGCTGTAACGGAGCCACCTCCAACTCTAACAATAAACTGAATTCATTGCAGATGGTGTAGTGCTGCTTAGGCTTTTCTGACTCCATACATTGCTTAGTTGCTGGGAGTTGCTGGGCCCTGGCTCCTACCTCTCTGTTTCAACCAGCATTGACTTTATCTTTGAAGACTCTAATGCTTTTGATTACTGGAAACACTTGTGCCTGAGTATGGAGAATAGGAGCCTAGGGTGGGTACATACGTACATACGTCTGATTTGGAGGAGGGAAGAGGGGCAAGGGGCCTCCTAGGGGAGGGCATCTGCATTCCATGGGGGAAAGAGCTGAGGACCAAATAACCAGGATCAGATAACCTGGACAACCCCTTGGACTAAAGAGGTAAGAAGCTGAGGGATCCTAAGAGATCCAGAGCCTAATGAGGTTGGAAACAATTCTCCTTGTACAGTCAGGATTTCCATGGAGTAAAATGGTAGACTTTCCCCCACCACAGAAACCCTTTATAGTCCTAGGTATGTCAGGAGTAGCCAGGTTATGAATATTTGGGGAGGGGCATGTTCTAGCTCTCCCACTGTTCTGGCCTCTCACATAGTAAAGATGTCAAGGGACCAGAGAAAGGGCATAGCCCCTTTATATAAACTCCTGACACTCCATCAGAGTAAAAAATTAACAGGATGATTCCAAGAACTTGGTGACAAGGCACGTACCCTCTGGTGCTTCACAGAGAGGAAGCCTCTTTCCAGTCCCCCTTCCAACACTCTCTTTCCTCATTAAAGACCTTTTGGGGGCTGGGTGCGATGGCTCACACTTGTAATCCCAGTACTTCGGGAGGCCAAGGTGGGTGGATCACCTGAGGTCAGGAGTTGGAGACCAGCCTGGCCAACATGGTGAAACCCCCTCTCTACTAAAAATACAAAACAATTAGCTGGGTGTGGTGGTGGGTGCCTGTAATCCCAGCTACACAGGAGGCTAACACAGGAGAATTGCTTGAACCCGGGAGGTGGAGGTTGCGATGAGCTGAGATCGAACCATTGCACTCCACCCTGGGGGACAAAGGCGAGACACGGCCTCAAAAAAAAGAAAAAAAAAAAAAAAAAAAAACCCCCAAACACAGCCAGATTTTTTTTTTTTATGGTACAGATGGGATGTCTAATCTATATATTTTTATAGTCTATTTTTGGATGCCTGATCTCTGTATTTTTACAGCCCATTCCTGTTCAACTATAATGTCTTTTGACTGATTCAGATTAATCAGTTACAGACACAATTGACTCACAGTCATACTGATTTTTTTTTTGAAGACAGAATCTTGCTTTATTGCCCAGGCTGGAGTGCTGTGGAGTGATTTCGGCTCACTACAACCTCCGCCTCCAGGGTTCAAGCGATTCTCCTGCTGAGTAGCTGGGATTACAGGCGCATGCCACCACACCCAGCTAGTTTTTGTGTTTTTAGTAGAGATAAGGTTTCACCATGTTGGTCAGGTTGGTCTCCAACTCCCATCCTCAAATGATCTGTCTGTCTCGGCCTCCCAAAGTGCTGTGATTACAGTCATGAGCCACTGTGCCCAGCCCATATTCATTCTTGAATCCGTAAGGACATCACCATCATCCATCACCACCATTCTCATCATTTTATATTTATTAAGCACTCACAATGTTCTGGCCCCCAACTCCAATGACTGCATTACCCCTCCTACCCCCTCCCATTCCCATCCCCAGATCTTTGGAAAAAGCTTCATAATCATATCTGGCCCTCAGACACAATGATATAAGTATAAATTTCTTGGGGAACCTGGAGTGTTTGGTCTTTGGCCAGTCTGTCCCTGGCACAACTACAGAAATAAATATATATATATATATATGTATATATATATTTATTAAACCTTTGCTTGTATCTGTACAATATTGATCTCTGCTGATTGCTTAAAATAAAACCTGATTATCTCTACTACTACAGCATCTCCTAAGCCAAACAGCCCCACCACAAAGGGAGACCCAGTTTCACAGACTGGCTAAGAACCCTCTAGGGCATTTTAAGTAAGTGCTCTGAATTTTGCACAGCAGTCTAATACCTACTTTTCCCTAGAGCTACTGCCCAGAGAAACAGGACTGAGGCAGAAGGGGCACTTGGGGATGATATGGAAAGATCTGTAAGGCAAGTCTAAAGATTAGTGGCCATGACAGATGTTTGTTTGGAGAGGGGACTCTATTTTCCAGACATTTCAGATGGCCATCCTGGCTCACCTGAGGAGTGCTGGCAAAGACAAGAGTCCCCTGAATGCACATATGGTCTAAGGGTACCTTGAGAAGTCATGAATGTTTTCCCAGGAAAGTGAAGACCCTAGAGTCCCCTCTTTTGCATTTGCTGTCCCCAGATGGTGTCTTCAGCAATGAAGCAGCATTTCCTTTAACAATCTGTGATTTCCTAGGATGCTCAGAGAAGGCTGGGTAATGACAGACCAACCCACCCCAAGGAAATCCTATTCAAGTCTAATGGCTAAGTGAAGAGCCAATGGCTTCTTTGAACCTAAAACTGGCTCCTCCTCAAGCACAGCTCTAGCACAGGTACGCTTCATACCAAGGGAACTGCTTCCCCAGACACTGCTGGTGAGAGCCGGCCAGCGAGTTAGCCAAGAGAAAAGGTTGCTGGCTCAAATGGCTGGTATAGTGTGACACCACTAATGAGAAAATTAATTACATGTTGCTGGTGGAAAGGGTGAGTGCTGGTCATGGGCTAGAGACTGCCTCTGAGTGTTTGGATCACCAGATGGATTCTGGGCTTGAGGAATACCCTCTCCAGGCAGCTGATCAACCACCTCAGGAACCACCCAGGACTTCTAATTTATCTCCTCAGGGACCTCCTGGGCCTGCAGATCAATCTCCTTAGGGAACTCTTGGGATGGTTTATCAATCTCAGGAATGCCCTGAGACAACAGATTGAATGCAGAAGTCTCCTGGGCCAGCCTGCCAACCTCCACAGAGAACTCCGGGTACGGCTGGCTGACCTCCTCAGGGATCTCTTCAGCTGGCCTGCCAACTTCTATAAGGGTTTCCTGAACCAAGCCACCAGCGCCTACATGGAACCTATGGACCAGCTTGTCAACCTGCACAGAGACCCCCTGGCATGGCTGGCTGACCTCCTCAGGGTTCTCCAGACACAGCTGGCAAACTTCCTCAGAGACTTTCTGGCACAGTTGACTGGCCGTCTGGCATGGCTGGCTGATCTGAGGGACCTCCTGGCATGTGTGGTTACCATTGTCATGGTGCTCCTGGCATTGCTGGCTGATGTCAGGGACCTCCTGACATGGCTGGCTGAGCTCCTCAGAAATGTTCTGGCATGGCTGGCTGATGTCAGGGACCTCCTGACATGGCTGAATGACCTCCTCAGCCACCTCCTTGTTGTATGGCTGGCTGGTTTCCACAGGTGGTACCTGTGAGGACTGATTTGGTTCAAAAAGCTCTTGTTCCCCTTCTATGGAGAGCTCTTGTGCTCCATTCCCAGGGGTCTCCTGGAGCAGACCAAGGCCTTGACGTTCTTCAGTCACGTGTGAATTTAGGGAGGGTTGATCACTGAAGCCAAACTGGGAGTTACCATCTACCGTAGTAGGGGAAGAAGGACCAGCACTGGACACAGTGCTAGAAGGGCCACTGCTGTCTGTAAAGCAAAGTCAAGAGATCAAGTCAGAGAAGCTGGAAGAGTAGGCTCCACCCTATGCAGATAGTTCAAATGCTAGAATGGTTGGCCTATGCTACTCATGTATCTGAAATTCTTCCTAAGTTAAGCAGAGACTCCTAAGTTTGCTTAGCTCAGGAACTGTCACCCTGGCCTAATGTATACTCTAAGAGTAACCATAAGGTACATGTAAGACTTTAGGAGACAGTACTAAGACCAACTTCCTCTGGTTCTTTCACAAATACACTCCCATCCCAATTCCAAGTTTCCATGGCCTCTAATTCCTACTTTGGAAGCATATGAATACTTTAGCCAAGTGGTTCATAATCAAAATCATAAAAATTTTTTTAAATATTAATTTCCAGTTTTCAACTCCAGAGATCCTAATTCTATAGGTTTAGTGTAAAGGTGTAGCTTGCAGGAAGGAGGAGGATGAAGGCCATATAATTTTGTTGGAACACTCTCAATTGAATCTGATGTACACCTTCTGTTAAGAATCATTCTTTAAAGCAATCAATGTATTTCTGGGGCAGAGGTAATCGTTATTTATAGCCCAAATGCTAAGTTGGCAGGAGAACATAGAAAGACAATGTAAATCAGAACAATAGGAAAGAAAATGGTTTCCATGGACAGGTGTGGTGGCTCATGCCTGTAGTCCCAGCAGTTTGGAAGGCCAAGGCAGGCAGATCACTTGAGGTCAGGAGTTCAAAACCAGCCTGGCCAACATGGCAAAATCTCCTCTCCACTAAAAATATAAAAATCAGCCAGGCATGGTGGCGGGTGCCTGTAATCCCAGCTACTAAGGAGGCTGAGGCAAGAGAATCACTTGAACCCTGGAAGCAGAGGTTGCAGTGAGCTGAAATTGCGCCATTGTACTCTAGCCTGGGCAACAAAGCAAGACTCCATCTCAGAAAAAAAAAAGAAAATGGTTTACCGAAAGATGGAAAATGGCCATGGAATCTCTACATGGTAGTTCTTAACCTTTCTAGGGGTCAGTGGCCCCTTTGAGGTACCAACAAAAGTCATAGATTATCTTCCAGGAAAAATGTACATATGAATATTCACACTAATCTTTACATGTGATTCCTGAAGCTCATAGACTCTACCCTGAAACCACATTCCATGGATCCAGGGTTAAGACCCTTGTAAGTCTTGGGATATACAATGTTACAGGCTTGTCCATATTATATACACAGAAAACATTAAAAAACAGATTTCCTAGATCCTGACAGTAATGTAATAAAGACCTCAGAGTCTTCAATTACACTGTGGGATGATTCCTAACCCAACCTCTACTTCTTCACTGACCTCTAGTACAGGACTAACCTACTTTTCCCTTGGTAAATATAATTTTTATTGATACTATTATAATGATACATTAAAGCACTATGGTATCAATAATGTCAGATTCTGGGAAAAGGGGACATCAGAACATATTGCTGTTAAAGTAAACCTCAACAAGTTGGCAAACCTGAGCCTACAAAGGCTCAATTCATCATTGAATTTAAGGTATGCTAGTTATCTCTCTTCTATCAAGAATTAAAAGAGGCATGCTTCAAGCTGAAAAAGAGGCCAGGCACAGTGGCTTATGGCTGTAATCCCAGCACTTTGGGAAGCTGAGGAAGGGGGATCACTTGAGATCAAGAGTTCGAGACCAGCCTGGCCAACATGGAGAAACCCTGTCTCTACTAAAAATATAAAAATTAGCCAGGTGTGGTGGAGGGTGTCTGTAATCCCAGCGACTTGGGAGGCTGAGATAGGAGAATCACTTGAGCCTGGGATGTGGAGGATGCAGTGAGCCAAAACTGCACCACTGTACTCCAGCCTGGGTGACAAAGCAAGACTCTGTCTCAAAAAAAAAAAAAAAAC